TAGTTAAGGTATTAAATGTTAATAGTGGTAGTAATATTGACTATATGTTACACCTATCATTCAAATTGTATTTATAACCCTTAATCGTCCTCATAATTTAGTCGTGTCCCAAACTTTAAGGTCGTGATAGTTGCTTAACTGTTTTAAAAAATCATAAAATGAAGTGAATGTTGCAAAAACAGAGTTACATGGCATCCCCCCCGTATATCTCAGAAACAGCCGGCTGGAAGGATGTTTTGAACTGGCAGCTCTTCAGAGTAAAATTGAAAACGATAGGGTAACTTGGAAACTATTCATTATAGCATCTGGTCTGTGTTTATAGCTACATATGCAGACTGCCGAACACCCTCAGCACACTGTAAACTTAGTGATTACACATCCAGAATGGAAATAAGTTCATTAGATGATTTGCTATCCAGAGTACACTGCCCCATGTTTTATAGTTGGCATAACTCTCCTTGGTTTTTGTTACTACAGAAAACATCAGATTGTTTTTCACTTTATTGGAAAAGATAAACCAGGGAAATACTGAACATGAACAACAAAAGCAGAAACATTAGGGCTGGACTATTGTTATATTTTAAAGTTATTTTTTCCAAAATAGAGTGTGGGAGGAAAACATGGGAAGTTTCAAAAAATGAACTGGTAAAAGGAGAAAACCACCTAGTAGATAGTCTGATGATTTTTTTTTGGTTGAAATTTAGCCTAAATAATTCCATTTGGATCAACCCAGTTATCAATAGCTCGTGAAAAGTTGCTTAATAAAAGTTAATTTTAATATATGACTAAATAATAAGTTACATTCATGCAGTGCTTTTATAATTACAAGGTATTTTTTGCACGTGATCTTGCTTACTCTTAAAAACAACTCTATGAGATAGAAGGTATACCCATTATTATCCCAATTTGATAGCTGTGGAAACTTAGTAGCATCTTACTCATCTTAATTATCTCAATGCAGATGATATATCTAGTTTACAGCTAGAGACTGTTATAAACTACTAAAGCAGATTTAATGGTTATGCAATTTTTCAGTGAATTCAGGATTGCATGGATGACCAATCGATTAAATTCATCTTCAAATGAATAAAAATCATTTACTCCCCTAAATTATTTATGAGAACAGAAAATGAACCCTGAATAAAACCTTGGATTTTCTTTATGTAAAAGAAATCATAATTTCTCTGCAGGCACAAAACACAGAAGAGGAAAATCCCCAGGTTTTAAAGAAAGCAATGCCAGGATACCACAGGCAAACAAAATGGGACATGGCAAGCTGCAATAATGCTTGGCTGCCTACACAACTATTTGTTTCTGGTAGTTATGGAATCACCACCTTCCTACTCATTTATAAGTATTCATTGGAGCTACACGCTTCTGAAATCAGTATACTGGGTCCACATGTTGGGGAGTTCAGAATCTCACAAAGGCACAATCCTTGCACTTGGGCTCTTATAATTTATGTGAGATAGACTATATTGTAGTGAGTCAAATACTAAAAGATGAACAAGAAGCTTCAATCAGCTAAGAGATAACAGGTAACTTTATTTCAGCTCCATTTTATGAAAGACTTTTCCTCTTGCTTTAAATTTCTGATTGGACAATGTCTGATGATGCTTTACCTGTAAAAAGCATGATGGAGGCCACTGTCACAGCAGCCTCTTGACTGACCCTACTATTGTGGCTTTCCACCTTGTTTCACTTACCACTGAAGCTGGGCGGCCAAACTAAACAGGAATTTTCTAAATACTCTAGAAATTTGATGTGACTTTTGACCTTTTAGATTGCCTAGAATGTTGGGGAAAGCCCATGAAGATTTTAAGGCAGTACCAGTATAAAAAACATATGGTATAATGCACCATTTTATTAGTTTGTGAAGATATAACTTCAGGGTCATTTAGTTTCTTAAAAAAATAGATAAGCACAGTTTAATAGGGACAAAAAGTTTGAAAACACTTCGTGTGTGTGTGTGTGTGTGTGTGTGTGTTCAAAACCAGAATGACTAGAAAAATAGAATAATTTTTTTTAAAAATGCAAATTCTGCTGCTGTTAAGTGACATATCAGATTCCTTTCCTTTTAGAAGAGACTTATTCAATGTCACAAAACCTATGGAAAATTTTGAAGCACCATAATAAATGTAGAAAAATTCCTATAAGACAGAGTGGTGAAGGAAAAGAAAAATAAGAGATAAAACGCACTAGTCTATTTTTCTTTTCAAAGTTATCTCCCAACTAACTTTATAGGTTACACTATTTTCCTTCTTTTTCTTTCTCACCCTTCTAATTTATTCCCCTTCCATTTGGCCCAAATCTCTCCTACTTCATTTGCCTTTGGACTCAGTGGACCTGGTCTTATCCCTGGTCATTTGTGACTGAATTTTCTCTTCTTTCCTTGCTTTGTTGCTCTGTTGTTGAAATGCTTGCCAAGAGCTAACCACCTGGAAGTTGGTTCATGGCTGGGGATTTAATCAGTCATGCAAACCATGACAAACCATAGGCATCCACAGTGTTGGCCTGGTGTGCTTATGCAACCAATTAAATTGACTACAAATTATTTGGGGGCATTGCCAGTCTATCAAGACCCTGAAAGATCTACCTGCCAATTTCACTATTTGGGTATAAATCTTCAGGTAGAGTTCAAATTCTGTTTTTAAAATCTGTTAGTCCTTTGTTCTTGTTCTAATTCCTGAGGAATGGGGGAAACTGGTGGCCTCCCACTTATTCTACCCACTCTCATGGCTTTTCCCTGTGCAAGACTAGAATCAAGGTCAACAGGGTCTTTCCCTTACTACATATTCTCCCAAGCCTCATTAGTAGTTTCACTAGAGGGTAGGTGGGGATAGTAGTAATTTCATGTTGATAGAAATGTGCCTCCATCTTTTGGAAAAAGATTGAAAATCCATCTACAGTTTAATAAGTACTGAAATTCTTATTATATAAGAATAGGTATTCTGGTTTCTGAGCACATTTTTAAAACACTGGAGGATGGGGGAAGTTCTGTACTTGTTTAAATCTTAGCATAGTTATCTTTTTAAGGGAATGGGGAAGAAGCTTTCAGACCTGTGAATTTTTCCCAGTTAAGGGACTCTTAAAATAGAAACTCCCTCATTAATGACTAATAACTCATCTATACGGTAAAGTCTTAAGATAATTAACTTGGGCACCAAGTGATTAAAAGACTTACCCATGATCACATATCTAGTATAGGTCAGAAGAGGAATTTTCAACCATTTCTTTTTAACATCTAGCCCTGCAAACACTAGATTGTTTTGACTCCCAGGAATGCTTAGCATGCAATTATTAGAACTACCATTTACTTTATTAGCCTGTTTTCCTCATCTATAAAATGTGGATAAAAATCATGACCTGCCTCCCTCCTCAGTATTGGGTATTGGGAAGCCCAAATGAACAGCTGTGTGTGGAAATGATTTGAAAAGCTTATAAAGTCTTGGACAAACCTAATGTACTTAACTGAGTTAAAAAGAACTAGTATGTGCAGGGTACTGTGCCAGCTGCAGGATATTACTGAAAACTCTTTTCCCTTAAAAAGTGAAATTAAATACAAGAGTAAGGAAAATAATTTTCTTCTACAATTTTCAAATTCATGTTATAAATTAAAGTGTGAATTTCATTCTAAAATCTATAGAAGTCATAAGAACTTTGACTTTATTGTGGGTGTAACCTAGAGATGAAAAATATAAATTTGAGCATATGTCCTTGAGCAAAAGAAAATGAAAGCAGAAATCAGGGTCATGGAAGGGCACATTAAACAAACTGTTTGGTGCCGATAAGAAGAGAGAAAGGATCAAGGCATCAATGTTCTTATGGAGTCCCAAGATAGAGACCTCACATTTTGTGTTTCTTCTTTTTTCTGCAGTTTTAACCTAGGGAACTAGATGGTATAGATGGATAAAGAGCTAGACCTGGTGTCAGGAAGACCTCAGTTCAAATCCTTCCCCAGATCCTTACTAACTGTGTAATCCCAGACAGATCCTTTAATCTATGTCTGCCTCAGTTTCTTCATCTGTAACATGAGGATAATAATATCACCTACCAAAAGGGTTGTTATGAAGATAAAAATAAGATGTCTGCAAAGTGTTTTACAAACCTTAAGGTGGCATATATGATTTATTATTATTACATTGCTAATGACATAGCTAATTCACTAACACAGGGGTATCTTTAAATACAAATTTTTCTCTGTGAAAATAATAAAATTGAACAGTGATCAGATAGTTGCTCAAGAGGACTCCATTAAATAATTAATACTGGTCCCAAAAGTTAAGTCACTTGGAGTAATGTTATGGCTGCTGAAATATGAAGTATCTCCTTTATTTTCTGCTTAGTTTATTTTCATACACTTTCTGCTGAGACTGGCAATAGTATAACTGCTCAAGGTTCCAGACTGACAAAATTCACATACCCTGAAAGTTGGCCTGGACAAGAAACAAGAGCTACCAGTTATGATTTCACATCCAGACTACTGTGACCTGAGGTCCCACCATATCCATGTTCCACAAAACTTATTGAATTCTCACTAAATGTAGAACACTATATAAAGCATTATAGCATTATTGATTTAAAGCTGGAAGGGACCTCGGAATTTAGCTCCTTTAACAGGTGATGAATCCGAGGTACAGAGAGAGATTAAGTGTATCTGTAAGGGATAGGATATAAGCCACCAATAGAGTTCCAGCCATAACTGCTGGCCAAGAATAAAGGGATTCTAGAGATACTCAGCTGCTAACTTTTATGTTCCTTATTTTTCATAGGAATAGAAAGAAAATGAATCTTAAATCTGGTAGAAGAAGTTGAGAAAATGAGGAAGGTAAAAATAGCAGAGGAGAAGGGAGATAGGGTCAGAAAAAAAAGGTAGGAGGCAATAGTGAAAAAAAATAAGGAGGGGGGTGAGAGAAAGAGAGAGAGAGAGAGAGAGAGAGAGAGAGAGAGAGAGAGAGAGAGAGAGAGAGAGAGAGAGACCCCTAGGTCAAATAACTCACTTTGCATTCCCTGCCCCTGGCTTCTTTCTCCGGAAAATGCTGAGGAAAGTATTGGAACGGCAGGGCAGCTTGCCATCCCCGACGTGCATGCGTACTACATCCGAGGTGGTGAAGGCACTGCGGACGTTCCTCTCAGGCTTAGCAATGATGATGTACATTTTGGGTGTGAACATGCATCCCAGTGCTACTGTCACACTGAGGCTCACGGCGAAGCAGGTAGTGATAATCTTGTAGTTGCTCCCAAAGTAGATGGGAACGAAAGCCAGCCAGATGATGCATGTGGTGTACATGGTGAAAGCAATGTACTTGGCCTCATTGAAGTTGGCGGGCACATTTCGGGTCTTGAAGGCATAGTAGGTGCAGCTCATGATGAGGAGTCCATTGTAGCCCACGGGGGCCACCACACCCAGGTTGCTGGTGTTGCAGATCAAGTAGACTTCCTTGATGCTGGGGTAAGACAGGATAGGCATGGGGGGCTCCATGACAATCAGGGTAACCACCAATGTTAGCTGCACACTAATCAGGATGGAGGCAATGATCACTTGAGCCCAGGCGCTCATGAATCGGGGCTTCCTCGTGCATATTTTCTTCTTGCTCCCAGCCAGGATTCGTGCGATACGGTTGGTTTTGGTCACCAAAGCAGAGTAGCACATGGCAGAAGAGAGTCCAACCAGGAGGCGCTGGAGGTAGCATGATGTGACGGTGGGCTTGGCGATGAGGGTGAAGGGGCACACGTAGCCAAGGAAAATGCCAGCTAGGATTATATAACAAAGCTCTCGACTGGAAGATTTGACCACTGGAGTGTCCCGGTATAGAACAAAGATGAGGGTGACAAACAAGGTGACCAGAATGCCCAGGCAAGAGAACACCACAGCTACAATAGACTCTATGTTGCTCCATTGAAGATAGCGAACAGTGATGGGTTCACAGCCTGTTTGTAAAAGGAAGAGGGGGAGGAAGGACGAAGGAAAGGAAGGAAGGAAGGAAGGAAGAAGGAAGAGGGAGGGAAGGAAGGAGAAAAGGAAGGAAGGAAGGGAAGGAAGAAAGGAAAGGAAGGAAGGAAAGAAGGGAAGGAAAGAAGGAAGGAAGAAGGAGGGAAGGAAGGAGGAAAGGAAGGAAGGGAAGGAAGGAGGGAAGAAAGGGAAGAAAGGAAAGGAAGGAGGAAGTAAAGGAAGAAAGGAAGAGAAGAAAAAAGAATCAAAGGCTAATAGGAACCAATGAGGAAGAAAATCAACTTTCCAAACATGGATATTTCATCATCATTCTTGATTTTATATTACTTTGATACATTTTTATAATACCGATTATTAAATAAATTCTGATAGACTGTTTTCCCCTCCTTTCAAATCACATCCCCTGAAATGATTTAAAACAAAAGCTTACCATAACTAATAGAAGAACACTTTGTTCTTTCCCCTATCATCAACTAATCATAAATTGGTTTCACTGTTTAGAGTGATTCTACATTGTTTTGTAAAAAAAAAAAATGGCCCTAAGTAATTTTCATCCAATGAAGAATTATCAGTGATAATGATGTTGACGATGATGAAGAAAAATACTACTTTTTCTTTTAAATACAAAAACTTATGTCTATCTTTTGCTTCCACTACTGAGGGATCTTAGAGGGATCTTAGGTTTAGGGTACCTAGAGGGATCTTAGGCTTGGTTCCATGGTGGGCTATGGAAAAGTATTGGAAAAGCAGAGAAATTAGAGGAATAACAACAACTAGTATTTATGTAGTGCTTTAAGGTTTGCAAAGCATTTTACATATGTTAGCTCATTTGTTCCTCACAACAATTCTGGGACATAGCTACTATTATTATCCCCATTTTACAGATGAGGAAATAAGTAGACAGAGGTTAAACGATTTGCCCAGGTCACAGTGCTAGTAAGTATCTGAGGCAAGTTTTGAATCCAAGTGTTTCTGAGTTCAAGTCCTGAACTCGGCTGTGCCCTTGGGGTATGCAATGAAACTAGAAATCCAGTTTCTCCAAGACAGTGGCAAAGTTCTATGGCAAATGTCTACTTTAAACTGAAATTCAGGCACATGCTAGCCATGTGACTTTAGAGTAAGTGATGTAACCTCTCAGTGCCCTAGGAAACTCTCTGCAACAATGGTACAGGGATGAGACCTTCATTGGAAGAGGGAGTTTCCCCATCTGGGAGTTCCCTTTGCCAAAGAAAACATGCTCAGTATTTATCCCTGACCGCTGGGAGCTTACATTCCACTGAGAAGTTAAAACATACATACGGATGAGTAGCTAAAAGGTAATTTGGGAAGTAAAACAAAACTGATAATTGTGGGCATCAGGAAAAGTCTCAGAGAGGAGCTGACATTTGGGCTAAGCCTTGAAGAAATACAAGGATTTAGAGAGACAGAGATGAGGAAGGAGTACATCCCAGGCATGGGGCACAGTATCTATAAATGTATGGTGGTGAGAGATAGAATATTCCTTTTGGGAAACTGCTAGTGTTCAATTTGTTTGGAAACTAGAATATGTGAAATAGAATAAAGTGAAATAAGTCTGGAAAGGTAGGCTGGAGGCATATTTTTTGCTGTTGTTGAGTCGTTTCGGTCATGTACAGCTCTCCTTAATCCCATTTGAGGTTATCTTGGCAAAGATACTGGAGTGGTTTGCCATTTGTATCACAAGCTTATTTTACAGCCTAGATAACTGAGGCAAATGGGGTTAAGTGACTTGCTCAGGGTCACACAGTCTGAGACTGGATTTGAACTTAGGTGCTCATGATTCCTGGCCCTTGGCACTCTATCCACTGTGCCATCTATAAATGAAAGTTCAAGAAGTTTGAACTTTATAGTAAAGGTAATTGAAAACCATTAGAAGTTTTTGAGTAGGGGAATCATATGGATAAACTTTTAAGAGGATGATTTTGTCAGTGATGCAGAGGAAAGATTGTAGAGGGGAGAGACTAGAAGAAGGAAGACCAATTAGGAGACTAATAACAATAGTCCAGGATGGAGTTGAAGAGGGTCTGAAGTGGGACAGTGGACATATGAGTGGAGAGAAAAGGACAAATGCTAGAGATGTGCAGAAGGCAGAATTGGGAAGTCTTGAAACTGATTGAATATGAGAGTTGAGGGAGAAGAAAAAGTCAAGGATAACTCCAAGGCAAAAGCCTGGGCCAATAATAATATGAAGCTAGGAAACAGACAGACAGACACACGCACACAAATAGGGAGAGTCTCTATGACACTCTCTCAAATTCTCTCTCTCTAATAAATATATATTTATAATAATATATGTATGCATCCACATATAGGTATATTAATTACATATTTATATAATGTCTAATATTAATAAGATATATTTATATGATATTTCTATATAACAAATATTTATTTATTTATACATAAACCTGTTGCAGGCCTTATCCTGCATAAGTGAATAGCTACTGAAATGGGTCCAGGCATAGTTTGTGCTTGAGAAAATATGTCAGATCCAGAGAATTTTTAAGATTTTTTTTCTTCTTGAGAATCTTTCTGATGGAGTTTGTCGTTTTGAGAAGTTCCCTTATGGTGTGTGACCTATTTTAAGAAGTGAGTAGTATTGGATTGCATTCAGTTGAATTCCTATGAATATTTAATCTAAATTCTAGCACCATTTCATTGCAGAACAGACTCATGTTTATGTATCACATGTCTTTATATGGAACATGAAAATGATTGTAAAGCTCTTTGCAAGAAATAAAGTGTGATATTAAAGGCTGAATTAAAATATGTAGTTCTCACATAAAGAAAAATGTCTGAGAATCTTATTTCATTAACAGCTTCAAAAATCATTATAATTAGACATATAACAATTATCTTCATAGTCAAAATACAAAATGTTCCAAAGTAGTTTATGAATTCATTTAAAAAACAATTTTTATTCTTTAGGCATGTGAATACAATTGTGTTATCAAATGATTGGAAAAGTTTATTATAACATAAGCTAATACACCATAAAAAAAACCCTGGTAACTTTTTTCTCCACTAAAATTCAATTTGAGCTCAATCTGAAAAAGAAAGTTTCTTCATGGAATGCAAGAGGCCTAGGATTGTTCTATTTTTTTTTATTCCTAGCTCCTAGCAGGTGTCTGGCACATAGTAGGTACTTAATAAATGCTTATTGATTGATTTATTAATTAATATCTGGCAAACATATGGCAAAGCAAACTATTTAGTATTTTAAATATTCCCTGGTGGTTTTTTTGTACCTGTGAATTTCCCATTTTGCAAATTAATTTAAAATTTTAAATAGAGTGACTTATTAATAATTCATTCAAATTCTGGTAGAAACCCAGACTAGAGATTTCCTTCAGGATTTTGATGAACCCATGATCTCATGAGTATGAATATCCTTCCTTTAGTATAAATTGCAACTCAGTTATCTATACCTTTTTCTGTGTGATTCTTACTGTTGACTTTCCATAGATTCTCTCTAGAGGACTCACCTACCATGCTGAAGGCTTTTCTTTGTTTAAAAACATATACACATATGAACATGTGTGTGTATATATGTAGATATACACATATACATACATACATACATACATACATATATACATACATACATTTCATGAATAGCCAGGGCATCATTCAAGCTATCTGTTATCACTCACTACAGCTATATGGCCATGCCACATTCGTCTCTTGTTATGCATGTCCTTTGTAATATCTTTTAAGCCACTTTTTTGTATGTGAGTTCTTATTAGAAATATGTAGCAGCCTACTCAATGAATTTTCTTCTTTTCTTTTTTAAAACAAAGACTTTTTAAATTCTTTTTCTAGTACCAAATTCTCTCTCTCCCCCTACTCCTTCCCCCACCCAATAAGAAGGCAAGAAAAACAAAATCTATTTCAAATGTGTGTATTCATGCAAAACAAATTTCTGCATTTGCCATGTTCCCCCAAAAGCAAGAAAAATAAAGTAAAAAATATGCTTCAGTATGTACTCTGAGTCTATCAGTTCTCTATCTGGAAGTAGATGACACGTTTTATCATGAGTCATGTGGAATAGTGGTGGGTCATTGTGTTGATCAGGGATATTAAGTAAGTCTTTCCAAGTTTATTACTTTTATAATATGACTGGTTTTATGTTGATTATTTTCCTGGTTCTGCTTACTTCACTTTGAATCAATTCATTTAAGTCTTCTCTGTTTTTTTCTTCATCATTTCTTGTAGCATAATAGCATTCCATCACAAGAATATACCACAATTTGTTCAGTCATAACCCAGTTGATGGGCATCCCCTCGGTTTCTAATTCTTTGCCACCACAAAAAAGAGAAGCTATAAATATTTTAGGGGTCCTTTTCCTCTTTCTTTGATCTCCTAAGTGTACAACCCCAGTAGCAGTATTACTAGGTCAAAGGGTATGTACAGTTTAATAGCCTTTTGAACATAGTTCCAAATTGTTTTCCAAAATGATTGGATTATTTCACAGTTCCACTAATAGTGCATCAGTGTGCCCATTTTCTCACATCCCCACAAGCATTTGTGATTTTTCTTTTTTTCAATCTTAGCCAATCTGATGGATATGAGTGGTACCTCAGAGCTGTTTAATTTGCATTTCTCCACTTATTAGTGATTTAAAACATTTTTTGTTTGTTTTTGTTTTTTAGGCAATTGGGGTTAAGTGACTTGCCCAGCTAGGTCACACAACTGGTAAGTGTCAAGAGTTTGGTCTGAGGTCAAATCTGAGTGCAGGTCCTCCTGCCTTCAGGGCCAGTGCTCTATCCACTGCGCCACCTAGCTGCCCCCTAAAACATTTTTCATGTGCCAATTAATAGCTTTGATTTTCTCTGGACTGCCAATTCATATCCTTTGACCATTTATCAACTGCAGAATGGTTTCAATGCATCTTTCTGTTGTCCTTTGGGTCACTTGTAATTTTGATTCTTCTGAGATTGTAGCATTCTATGATTCATGGCCATATAGCAAAAACATAGGCTTTTCTAGGACAGTGAAGTTTTAGAGTAGTCGTAAATGTTTTATTATTAATCTCTTATTATTCGGTTCTGGGGCTCAGTTCATTGCCTATATGCAATGCTTGTCTTAGAATATGTGTGCCTAGGAAAGGGGAGAGGGAGGGTATGTGTGTATATGTGTGTGTGAGTGCATGTATGTACACCCTCTGATGTCATGATCTGAACAATATTTACATCTATTTTGTTTTTCTATTCTAAATGAGTGACTGTGTATCTCATTGAGGAATCCCTGTAGTGTTCTAAGGTTTCATTCAATACAGCACAGAGTATTCTACAAAGAAGAACATCTGGAAACAAATCAAAAAACATTTATTAAGCACCTAGTGTGGGGTGGGGGTAACTAGGTGGCAAAGTGGATGTAATGCCTGGCCTGGAGTCAGAGAGGCTCATCTTCCTGAGTTTAAATCTGGCCTCAGATACTTACTAGCTGTGTGACCCTGGGCAAGTCACTTAACCCTGTTTGCCTCAGTTTCCTCATCTGTAAAATGAGCTGGAGAAGGAAATGGCAAGCCACTCCAGGATCTTTACTAAGTAAAACCCTGAATGGGGTCACAAAGAGTAGGAAACAGCTGAAAAACGACTGAAGAACAGTAACGTATGCCAGGCACTGTGCTAAGTGCTAGGGACACAAAGAAAGGCAAGGTCTCAAACACTAATAGTGAAATGTTCTTCTGTTTAGATTTTGCACAGGACAGCCTCCAAGACACCAGTGAGTTCCTCTGTCAGTATATTTCTCCATTCTATGCCTTATTTGATATTGATATTCAGCAGACTGCTGAAAACAAAATTTACCTGTGTGGTCACATCCAACATGGAACCTTTTTTTTTTTTTAATTTGTCTATATACATGTGGGCAATTGAGGAAAGACTTTAAAGTTTCATTTTGTCCTAATGCTTAAATTTTCCCCCCTTTTATACTCCCCCTGTTGGGAATCAATGAACCACAGACGCTACAGAATCTTATATTCTACATATGCGTTGTCTGGAAAAACCCAAAACATAAGAATTGTGAAATCTTCTGGGTATATGCTCTAAGAGCCTCTTATTCTCAATTTGCAAATTTAAGTCACAATCCAAGACATATACTGACACATATTCTTATCCTATTAGACTTCATTTTTACTCTTAAAAAAAAGTTAGAATAGCTGATGTCCTTGGAAAAACAGAATAATGTTCACTTACCATGTGTTTATAAGCATAGAAGGATCAAATATCATGTTCTTATTACATTTAGTAGCAAAGCCATAGTTATTTTCCTTCTAATGAACATTAATCAATCAGAAACTGCACAAGAATGAGTTTGGTAGGAGAATAACACATTCGATTTGCTGACGGGGCAATATAGTTTGTAGGGGAGTTTACCTGTTCGGTTGCCATATGGGCAAAGGGATCTTTGAGGTGTCTTTTTCTAAGATCTGGCTTTTCAATTCTACAATATGTTGTGTTGCTTTTTTCCCCTTTTATTCTGAACTTAAAAAACACCAAATAAAAGGAGCATTTTCATATAATGAGTAGAATAGAATAAGAATATTATACATGCAACTGAAAAATGTATATTATGTACTATTTGCTCTATTTCTTAAATAAATGACCTAACTTCAATGTTTCAACCTTGCATCTTAATTTTATCTTTTGTCATTGTACTACCATAATTTCTGAATGTTTTTCTCCCACCTCTCCTACCCAGGGAGCCATCCCTTGTAACAATTTTTTTAAAAGAAAGAGAAAACATTTAGCAAAACCAATCAACACATCAATCATATTTGACAGCAGAGGCAATATCCTATACCCATAGTACTCCACCTCTGCAAAGAAGGGAAAGGAAATATGTTTTCTCTACTCTTCTCCAGGGCCAAGCAATGAGTTCTTTGGTACTTAAGTAATACTTATTTATTTATATTTATTATTTAAATGTATTTATATTTAATATTTATTAATATTTAGAAATACCAATGACATACAAGTACTCGAAAATCTCATTGTGAAACATTTAAAAGTGATTCACTTTATTTTGGGTCAAATTGGGTCCTTCTTTCCTTCCCTCCTTCTACGTTTTTCAACACTATACAGTATTATCAGCTTAAACTTAAAAAAAAATAACGGTAGCATTCTTGTACAAGACTCCACTAGTTTTGGTATTATTATGCCACAATTATACTATACTATGAAATATGCACTCAGGTGTTTGAATGGAGTAAACAATATAAACAAACATGGAAAAACTTATTAAAAAGAATGTATCCTTTGTAAATGTGTGAGAAAGGGGTCAGCATAATTCCTAGGATAGCAGGGGAAAACAACATCAGAACACTTTGAGGGGAGACAGTTCATATAAATGAGAAAGGTCCTACCAGTGAGGTCTCTGTTTGGCCACCATCCAAGGTCACATGCTTTGCAGGTGAATTCATCTTGCACATACTCATTCTCCTTGCATGCTGTGCAGATCCAACAGCAGCTCACCTCTCCTTTCCGGATGACCTAGAATACCCAGATTTTTCTTTCAGAAAGCTAGCCATTTCACTTTTTGTAATGCCAACGCTTTCACTCTGGCTCTTATTAGTTTCAGGTGAACCAGAAGCTTATTTGAAGAACATTTCACATAATGGGTGAACTTCAGAAGATACGGGTTTGGGACACATGCTAGATTCACAATCAGTTGTGATATAGATATGAAGCTAATATGAAGGATCCCTTATGTTATTGTGTATTTCTAATAATTGTCTGAATGTTTTTTTGCCTAAACCTAGAGAACTTACAAGAACTTTACTCACAGAGAGAATGATGGTAATGAGATACAGTTGAAAGAACAATGGGGCCTTAGAAATAAAATTCTTATTTGACTACCCCTTCCTCACAGCTATAACTAGTCACCAAGTATGTCTAATTCTTCCTATATAATGATCCTTCCTTTATATTACTTTCCTTTTGCCATCACCACCCCTTCCTGGTATTGTACTTTCATTAACTCACTCCTGGATGGTAACAAGAGCCTTCATCTGTATAATCTGCCTGAAATCTTTCTATCTCCCCAAATTTTTCCTCCACATAACTGCTAAGATTACCTCACTTCCCTGGTCAAGAAATTTCAGTGCTCCCCTATCACATTTGCAATAAACTCTAAACTCCTCAGCATTATACTTATCCTATGTAGTATATTACTCTCAGTTCATTGTCTCTCTTCAGCTTCCCAATAATGTGTGTGTGTGTGTGTGTGTGTGTGTGCATGTAGCTTCATCACTTGTTACCTAAAACCATAGGCTAATAAATAGAAAGCTGGAAGGGACATTAGGGACCATCTGGTCCATTCTCTTTATTTTTACAGATGAGGGAACTAAGGCTCAGAAGGTTAAGTGACCTCCCAGAATGACTACTTTACCCTCAACTAAATAGTCACCATATTAATTCAGTCTTCCCCAGTCACTCAACTTAACACACTTGGATTTGCCTTTTTGATTTCTTGATTTGCCTTCAAGAACATTTTATCCTTCACAAAGGGGAAAACCAACAAAGTATAACTCCACTTTGGATCTCATTATTACTAACAGAGAAGAGTTGATTGCTAGGTGGAAATTATAGAAATTCTAAAACAAAAAAAGCGATAATTTATTTTTAGACATTATAACAGAGAAAGAGAAAATCCAAGCATAGCCTGATATGCATTGTAGATTTTGAGAAAGCAGATTTCAGTGGGTTCAGAGGAAATGTAGGTAAGATTTCATTTACGAAAATGTTGGAGAGTAAGTCAGTCCAGAAGGGATGGGAAAAGCTCAAGAATGGCATTCTGAAAACAAAGGGAAACAATTTCAATGAGGAATCAGTCAACAAATATTTGTTAAGTTCCTACTTTGTACCAGTGCTAGGAAGAAAAATAGGACTTACATGAAAAGACTCCTGTGAATGTACAGGGAACTGATCAACCAAATTACTTTTTAAAAATGTATAGGAAATGGAAACAAGGCCAGGTAAGAAAGGATGAATATGAGTTCATTATAGTCCTATAACAATAGTGTCAAGAATGCTAAAGTTCCCAATGAGCTGAGGCTAATGAGGGAAGCTAAAGGCAATAATAGGGTTTCTTTTTTTTAAAAAAGCTAAAATGGAAGAGGAGGATCATAGAGGGGAGAGAATCCTTGCTTGGGGTTGAGAAGATGATGAAAACAGAGAAAGCAGATCTGCTTCTTCTTAATTTGTTTCCGTTTTTTTTTCTCTGCCAAATAGTATGACTTTTGTCCTAGAAATGACAGAACAAAAATTGTTAATAGGGAGTCGATACCAAGATAAGTGAAGCATTAATAGGAGAGCACCTAGTTACCCTTGGATGAATTCATGTTACCTAGCCCAGATGAACTAGATCCTTGGGACCTGAGAGAATTGGCCAATGTGATTGCAGAACTAATATCTGTGATATTTGAAAGCTCATTGAAAATGGAAGAGATACCATATGATTTGGAGAAGGGCTGATTAGCATTTTTCTTTTCTTTTTTTCTTTTTTTTTTAGCTAGGCAATGGGGTTAAGCGACTTACCCAGGGTCACACAGCTATTAAGTGTCAAGTATCTGAGGCTGAATTTGAACTCAGGTACTCCTGACTTTAGGGCCAGTGCTATCCAATGTGCCACCTAGCTGCCCCTAATTACCATTTTTTTTAAATAGAAGAGAGTGACACTTCCAAACTAAAAGCCAGTGAGCTTGACTTTGAATCTGGAAAAATTATATACTAGATGATTAAAGAGATAGTTGATGAATATCAAGAAAGGGAAGTGGTGATTACAAAGAGCCAGTAAGACTTCATCAAGAATGGGTCATGGCAGGGGCATCTAGGTAGTGCAGTACACAGAGCACCAGCTCTGGAGTCAGGAGGACCTGAGTTCAAATCTGGCCTCAGACACTTGACATTTACTAGCTGTGTGACGCTAGGCAAGTCACCTAACCCTGATTGCCTCAAAAACATAAATTATTAAAAAAAGAATGAGTCATGCTAGACCAGTCAATTTCATTTTTTTTAAAAACAGGAATGTTAAACTATTAGATGATCAGAATAATGAGACTATAGTTTACCCAGGGCATCTAGGTGGTGCAGTAGATAAGAGTACTGGGCTTGGAATCAGTAAGACTCCTTTTCCTGAGTTCAAATGCAGACTCAGACACTCATTAGCTGTGTGACCCCTAGGCAAGTCACTTAATCTTGTTTGCCTCAGTTTCCTCATCTGTAAAATGAACAGGAGAAGGAAATGAAAACCACTTTAGTATCTTTGCTAAGAAAACCCCAAATGGGGTCATAAAGAGTCAGACATGACTGAACAACAACATAGTTTACCCAGGTTTTAGCAAGGCTTTTTGATGAATGTCTTACATTCTTCTTGTGGGGAAGATGGAGAGAGAGGGATTTGATGATAATACAGTTAGGTAAATTCACAATTGGTTGGATGACTCCACTCAAAGAATAGTTGTTAATGGTTTGATGTTAGTATGGTGGGGGTCCTTTGGTGGAACCTCCCAGGAATTTGTCTTTGGCCCTGTGCTATTTAACATCTTTATAGATAAAGATAGAGAGACTTAGATAAAGGCATAGATGGCATACTCTTCAAGTTTTCAGATGACACCAAGCTATGAGTGAGAGCCATCATATTGGATGACAGTCAGGATCCAAAAGAATAGTGACAGGCTAGAATATTGGGATGAATAAACTAAGATAAAATTCAATAAGGATAAATATAAAATCCTACAGTTGGGCACAAGAAAATCAACTTGACAAAAAGAAAATGGGTAAGGCATGGTTAGATAGCATTTGAGAATTTCAGTATACTGTAAGCTCAATACAAGTTAGCAGAGTGATCTGGCAGATAAGAAAACTAATGCGATCTTGGACTATTAAGAGAAGCACTGCTTCCAGGAATAAGAGAAGAGGGTCCTTGCTTTGATCAGCTCCCATTCCAGAGTGTTGTGTTCAGTTCTGGGTGCCACAACTTAGGAAGAATGCTGATGAGCTGGAGAGTATCCAGGGGAGGGTGACCAGCATCACCAAAGGTTTTATTCCATGTCATATGAGGAGTGGTTGAAAGAATGGAGAATATTTCTCTTGTAGGAGGGAAAAGTCAAGAGTCAAGAGGGATACAATAGCTACCTTTATGTATTTGATGGGTTTTTCATGTGTAGAAAGGATTAGATTTTATTCTGTTTAGCCAAGAGGGCAAAACTAGGAGTGATGCAAAGAGGCAATTTAGGTTTAATGTCAGGAAACCATTCCTTGGAATTGGAGCTGTCTAAGAGTGGACTGGGCTCTCCTGAGAGGTGGTGGGTTCTCACTTCCACCCCCAACCCACACCTTTGGTGGTCTTCGAGACCAGGTCAGATTATCATTTTAGGGGTACATCATAGTGGGGATTCCTTTCACGTATGGGTTGAAACAAACACTCAAATTATTTGATTCTGTGTTTTAGAATCATTAAGAATACATTTTTTAAGAATGCTTATTCAGACATACTTGCTTATATTCTGAAATATTATAAAAATATGAAAGTAGAGCCATATAAATCATAAACTTTAGGCCAAGAAAGAAGATAGATTTAAAATGGAAAGATTGGGTTTAGGCTTTTCTGATCATTCTATGTAAAGAGCCAAATTAATTTTTCAAAAGCTGAGAAATATAAAGAAAGAACAAATTCCTATCAAACAGAAATAAATGAAAAATGTAGTAAGAGAAATGACCAATGGGAAAAAAAAGATGTTTCCCTTACATGTTGCCAGATGGTGGTGGGAAATATATTTATATGTGTGTGTACACACACATACACACACACATACACACATATATACACACATACAAACACAGTCACATATATATAAATCTAATAACTGCAAAATGGAATAAAGAAAGCTTTCAATGGAAGGAGTAAAACCAATTAGAGAGTAAGATAAATATTTCTACCTAGAGAAGTTTTTAATGACATGTTTAGATAGGAAAAAGCAAGAATTCAGAAATAACAAAATTCAAAAATCCAGTAACAGATGTCTACATGGATGGGGAAGAGAATAAATCATGGAAGAATAAAGACATTGCTTGTGGGTGAATTGAGGTGTGCAGAAAGAGAAGAGGAGAGTGAATTTCTAGGATGAAAATGGAGGAGCTGAAATAGTGCCACAAGATTAACTGTGGAAAATGGAATTTTGGATGGAATTGTTTCAAGAGAAAGATAAGGTACTGGAGAAGAGGAAAGAATGTGGTTGAAATATGTATTAAAGACATGTATATATGTATGTATATGTACATGTATATGCTTACATATACACAAACACACACACATATATGTAACTTATGCTAAAGTATATATTAAAGGATGAAGAAACATGATTTAACAGCAGACACAGTTCAAGAAGGGAGCAGCATGATTAAATTCTTGAAGAGAGGAGAAGCTTCTGGGTCTGAAGGTCTCACTACCTACTCCTACAAGACTTTTCAGGATGGCCTGAACAAATATT